TACTATTTACCATTTACCATACTGGTTTTGTTACAACAAATTAAGTGAAGTGAACTAAAGTTCATCTTTCATCAAAACAAAAAGGGGACTATATACAAATTTAATCCCAAAACATTAAAATATAATGTTTCATAAAAAAAATATGGTTGTATGTTGGGCAGCTACATCCCAAAACCATTCTTGCCCCACTCCTGCGAGCAAGTGAAGCACATAAGTACATAAAGATGAATAGGCGAACCCAAACAAAAAATCAATTAAGTCCTACTGCCACAGCCAATGACATGCAGGGGAATCAAACAATTTACTGATTCCTATCAACTAACGGAATAGGAAGAATAATCTCTAAGTGGTCCTACTCTTTCTGAAATGAAAAAAGAAATAAAAATTAAGTTTAGGTTAACATAAAGTGATTGTAAAAATTTAATTTCACTAAAAATAGAATCAATGGAACCTACTTTGCACCCTTTCTTCATTCCGTTCAAAGATCGACACCAATCACATGCACATAAGAGCATTTCCACTATGTCGGGAGACAAATAAGCTCGATAAGCGTCAATAACCCTACTTTCAGCACTGAATGCAGATTTTGAAGCAACCGTAGTGATGGGGATGGCTAGAATCTCATGAGCCATCATAGACAATATAGGATACTTGGTTGAATTTGCCTTTTGCCTTCCACCATTGTAAAGCATCGAATGCCTCACAATCCCCCATGCATGTATGACACCCCTCTCCCAAATAATAGTCTAGCTCAGACTTACTTGGCTCAACAGTCTCAACACGTCCAAAAAATTGCTAAAATCATCCCAACTGGCGACTCCCGCAGTTGTTGCCTCCTCACCAACGGCTCCAACTCCATCCCTACTACAGGAGGCCCACGGGAAATAGTAGAAGCCTTATTAGCCTCAACATACTCCCCATATAGCTCATACAATGCACCCCGAACAGTTACAGTATTTGCACAGGCTTCTAACTCAGAATACATCTTGGGGAATGCCCACTGAATTACCCTCATTTTCAATCGATGATCCAATATAGCAGTCACATACATCAACACATTACATTCCCCCCAATATTTATCGAACTTCTCCTTCATCTTCCTTACCATGTTTCTAATAAACTCATCTTCGTCTTTACTTTTACTATCCAACATCATTCTCACTAGACACACCTCCTTTAGAAATAAATTAAATGTCGAATAATCAGTCCCTGAAATGAGATTGGTTGTACCACTAAAAACCTTTAAAATGTCACACACTTTCTCCATTTTCTCCTAATCCTCATCCTGCAGACAATAATGATAACTTTTATCCCTTTTTTTTCAATCTGGGAAAAATTTTTTTGAACTTAATTGTCGTTGCCAACATTTCATACGTCGAATTCCATCTTGTTTTACAATGTAAAATAAGCTTCCGAAACTGCAATTTAAGTTGTTGAACAATCTCAGAAAAAACATTAATCCTACTCTATGAAGCATTGATGTATAAGACGCTCACATGGATGTCATCAATGATATGCCTAATTTGATAAAGTCTTTCTTGAACAATAAGGTTCAAGATATGAGCGCAACATCTTGCATGAAACAATTTACCTTTACAAATTAGATTCCCCGTAACTTCAAAATTTTCCCTCAGAACTCTGATTACAACATCATTACTGTGTTATCCACTAAGATAGTGTACACCTTATATTCAATCTCCCATTCCATTAGGCACTTGGAAATGGAGTCAACAATCGCAACACCAATTGGGGGAAGAGGTAAATGAACAAAGTTCAGGACACGTCTATTCATCCTCCAATTACCATCTTTCCAATGCCCAGTGAGCACCATATATTCCATCTTCTGATTGCTGGAATTCTATAAATCTATAGTCAAACTAATCTTTGTCACATTCTTTAACATCGTCTTCAACTTCATTTTCTCATTTTCATATACCTTCATACAATCATTTTACAAGTATGGCAGGAAACCGAACTCCATTCAAGAATCTCATACTTCATCATGTTATTCAAGCCCTCTTCCTCCACAACTAAAAATGGATGCTCATCCATAAGCACCCAATGGGCGATAAGTTCCCTCATCTTCATCATGTCAAACTTTCCATTTAAAGCAAACAAAATAGAAGTTCCAACATTAGAAACCGACAGCAGGAAAAGTAATATGTTATTGCCTCATGGAAGCTATTCTCTTTGAACATCGTTTTAAATGTCTATTAAACCAGGTGGTGCTTATGGTGACATTAATACACAGCTTTACTTTGCAATAGATACACTCTGCTTTTTTTTGTACCACCTGAGAGATCCACCTCCTTAAACTTTGTCCAGACCACTAATGTTTTAGCTCTCTTTCTCCTCTGAATTGGATTGTCATTCTCCCCAACATTATCTAGGCTACTAACATTGTGTTCCGTATTTGTAGTGGTCTCATTCAAGTTATGCTTATTGTCCGGTGTAATTGTAATTGTATCTTGCTCTGTAGGGTTGCTTAAGGTACTGTCGTCCATTTCCAAACCTATAATACAAAATAAAAAACAAAGGTGTTAGCTTTTCTTATTGATATATATTTGAAGTTTTGGAAATCGAGGAACATTAAAGTTATTTGATGATAAAAACCCATTTCTATTAATGCATATCTCAACTTGCAAAAACCAAAGCTATCTATCTAGTTAATGCAGCTATCGTATAAAGAGCAAGAGTGCAAGTTTTCACAACTTTAAGAAAACTTTTCATGTTTCTTTACTCTACAAACTGCAGTTTTAAACTTCTCATTCATATTTTCACTACAATGTTTCAAACTTCAATTAATATTTGCAGATTATTCAATAGCATGACTGTAAATCTGAGCTTCCTAAACCACTATGAGCATAAAACCATATGAAAAGAGAACAATACTAGCATATTAGGAAAAACAAAGAAGAAAAGTGGGCCAAAATAATACCTTACTGTGATGGCGAGAAGGACGGCAGGACAATGGGTAACTCGACAACAGGAAGAGAACAAGACGGCGATGAAGAGAATAACAAGTGAATGACAATGGCGAAATGACAACGATGACAGTAACAAGTGATGCCGTTGGCAATTATAGTGGATGGCGGCAACCGTGGGCAACAACGACGACGTGGTGGTGGATTGCGATTTGGGAATTTGGGTGGTTTTTCTTTTTCAATTTTAGGGATTTAGTTCAAATGGGGGTAAGAATTGTGTTTTACACAATTTTATAATGGCGGAATTTGTCATTTTTTCAACTATTAAGAACTACATATTACATTTAACCCCCAATAGTTCGAAAAAGCCTCGGTGTAACCCTTTTTAACTCGAGCCAGATTTGGCTCACGAGTCGTTTGAGCCGAGTCGAGCAATCATTGAACTTGGCTCAAAACTCATCATAAATCAAGTTGAGTCAACACGACTCAAGCTGAGCCGGCTCGATTCAAGCCAAGTCGAGCCCTTGACGAGCCTTACTCGAGTCAAATTGAGTTGGCTTGCAAGCCGCTTGATTCATTTAACAGTTCTATAGGGGTGTGTTTACTGGAATTCAAACATGCTAGACATCTGACGTCACCGATTTGACCGACCAAGCCACCCAGGAACCAACCCCTTGATTGGGTCAAGGGACGATCCGAGTTTCAAAACATTACTAGCTAATCTGACTATTAAAAAACAACTTATAAAATGGATGACACCAAATACAAGAACACAAAACCTTATTATCCCTCAAAACTTTAGATTGACCAACACAAAATCTCATTGATGATTTTAGATTAGCACCACACTAACGAACTAAAGAAGCCACATTTCTTAAGATACTCCATTTCAAAGTTTTAAAACAAAATTTTTTTTCTTATGGCACCCCATAAATTCCATAAATGCCCTTTATTCCATTTTTTTATATTTTAGTTAACATTTCATTCTTTTCCCCTCCACCATTGTTATTCCTAAAATAAAATTTTAGATAATTGAAAAAAAATTAAAGCAAAAAAAAAAAAAATCGTTACAAATAATCACAAGCACCTAATATATTTAAATAATATCAAAAAATATATAGATTAAAATGGCTACCAATACTTTGAAGAAAAAAAATAATAATAAATTTGTATGTGAAGCAATTAGAAACCTACAATTTTATATTCCTTGTAACCTAATATATTCTTTTTCATATCTTCTTTCTCTAATAAACTATCATTTTTGCTCTAAGAATAATTTGAGTAGTAAAAAAGAAAAAAATTAAGGTTTATGAGATAATAATAGTGTCAAAAGCATTTGTAAGAATAGGAAATTAAAGTTAACTTTAATTGTTGTTGTTGTTGTTGTTCATCTTCTTCTTCTTCTTCTTCTGCTTCTGCTTTTTTAGTTTCTTTTCTAAGTTTTATAATTTTTAAATTAGTTATGAATTACATTGATTAAATAGAAAACTGTCATATGAAGTAACTTAAATTAAACAAGGAGTTTATGTTAGTTTTTGAGTGTTTTTAGAGTTAATGATTTTGTAGAAACAATAGACTTTAAAAAATTGTAGATCGTAAGTAATAACATGTTTGTAAATCCTTCTTAAATATTTTTTAATATATATAAAATCAAGAACCATTGTTAATAAATGTTTTAAATACTATTATACTATTATCTAAGATTGAAGATGAGGGTTAAACATAGAAAAAGATAGAGGTCTAAAAATCACTTTCTTAGAATTATATGTTGCGAGTCCAGTCTTTTCGGATTTATTTTTAGGTTATGCAAACATCTTTCACCCTTTGAGAATCACGCAAACGTATCTCACCCAAAAAGCTTCTTATTGAGAACTCAAATCATAAACTAAACCCTAAACTCATTCTTTAGACTATGTGGGATATAACAAGAATATTTTTTACTATGCGCTGATCTCTGTTCAATACATGTGATATGGAATTCCAAGTTTTCATAGGGGTATTTTCGTCCAATAATTTCAACTTTGGTTATAAGTAGCAAACTCGGGAAACTATTTTTCCAAAAAGAGCCTTCCCAAATCCCAACGTGGGAATCTTGTAAAAACCCAATTACAAATTAGGGTTTTAACTCATCTTCTAGGGTTTTATCAATCAAGCAATGAGCTATTGAGCCTTACCATAACGGGGAAGAAAAAGCTCAATTAGAGAATAATACTCGAAGCTTCTTCTTCTTCTGAGCAAAAGCATCAATTTTTGCTTATGGGTAAGAAACTTGGATTTTCTCATTCTCATTCTAGTTGTTTTTAATCCAGCTATTTCAATTACAGTTCTTGCTTAGCATTTCAAATATCCCACATTGATTCTGCTGAAATTTAATGTTTAGCTCATTAAATTTCACGTCTTGCCATGATATTACTCAGAATCCGCAAAAGGGTATTTGAATTATCTAAGATGATTGGTCAATCCAATCAGATTGTTCCCTTTTCTTCTGTGTTCAATGAAAAATGTGTTGTAATGCAGTACCCATCTTTCAGTTCAGTTAAATTTCGAACCTTTTGCAGTTCTAGAGTGACACATTTAGCAAAAGTCAGTCTCACTGAGTCAACTCAGTCACCTGGTTCTTTGATTTCCAACCAAGTTTCTAGGCTGGCTAGAACCGAGGCTCAAGATGTGTTATTTGATTACTTGCATGGTACTAGGAGCTTAAGCTATACGGATGCAGAGCATATCAGCAAGAATTCGCCATATTTTATTCAAAGTTTGTTATCCAAGATTGATGCCGAGAAGGATGTGACTCGGTCTTTAGCCAGGTTCCTTAGATACAATCCAATTAATGAGTTTGAACCATTTTTCGAGAGCTTGGGTTTGAGCCCATTGGAGATCTCCTTACTTCTTCCGCAGCACTTGATGTATTTGAGTGATGATGATATCTTGCTTGAGAACTATCATGTGTTGTGGGTATATGGGATTCCTCGTAATAAGATGGGAAAGATGTATAAGGAAGCGAGAGAGATATTTGGGTATGATTATGGAATATTAAGTTCAAAACTTCAGGCTTATGAAAATTTGGGTCTAAGTAGAAACACGGTTATTAAGCTAGTCAGTTGTTGCCCATCGCTTTTGATTGGTGATGTTGATGATCAATTTATTAAGGTTCTTGAAAAATTAAAAGGGCTAGGATTCAAGAATGACTGGATTGGGGGATACTTATCTGGTAAGAGCACATACAATTGGAATCGAACAGTTGACACAATGGAATTTCTTGAGAAAGTGGGTTATAGGGAGGAGCAGCTTTGTGATCTATTTAAAACAAATCCAGGGTTAGTCTTTGAGGGTTCTGGGCGGAAGGTTTATTTGTTGGTTGGCCAGTTACTCAAATTGGGTTTGAAGATGAATGAAATCTATTGTTTGTTTATGCAAAAGCCACAACTGTTGTCTGGAAAATGTACAAAGAATCTATTGCAGGCTGTGGGATTCTTGGTTGAGATTGGAATGAGAATGGAAAACATTGCAAATATAGTGTCTAAGCATGCGGAACTTATGGGTTCATGTTCTCTTAAAGGACCTAAAACTGTTTGCAGCAGTTTAAAAGTCAACAGAGATGGTTTATGTCAAATTATAAAAGATGACCCGTTGAAATTGTTCCATTTGGCTTCTAAAACAAAAATTAAAATTTATGAACAGGCGGAACTCCAAAATCCTAGTAAACATCTGGAGAAAACAACATTCTTGTTGAGATTGGGGTATGTAGAAAACTCAGAAGAGATGACGAAAGCTTTGAAAAAGTTCCGAGGAAGAGGGGACCAACTACAGGAGAGATTCGACTGCCTGGTAGAAGCCGGTTTGGACACAAATATTGTCAGACGCATAATTAAACATGCGCCAATGGTGCTTAACCAGAGCAAAGAAGTGATTGAAAAGAAGATGGATTTCTTAAAGAACTGTTTAGGGTTTCCAATCGACTCTGTAGTGGCATTTCCATCATATTTATGTTATGATTTGGAGAGGATTAATCATAGATTTACAATGTATGTGTCGCTGAGGGAGAGAGGTGCAGCGAAGCCCAAATTGTCCTTAAGCACTATACTTGCATGTTCAGATGCAAAATTTGTAAAATATTTTGTAGATGTCCACCCTGAAGGTCCAGCCATCTGGGAAAGTATAAGGAAATCGTCAAATTCAAGCTAAGGTGAAGTCTATACTTCATTTATATACTTTTTTTCATAAATCAAATTGAGTCCACTTGGACAATATAATTCTGCATTGCTAACCATATATTGTTGCACATCTATGTAAACTCTGATATGATTGTTGCACCTCATCTTCTCAAATACTTGCTACGAAATCTTGCATGGTTGGGTCGTTCAGCATGCAGTTTGGACTTTGGACAATTTAAAAACAGTAATTGTGTTGTTAATGACATAAAAACTGAATTGATACCATTTATATCTCATCTAACTGTAGTTTTTGGAACGAGTTTGTTTTCAGATGTATTTGTGGTAGTTTTCTTATTGTCATATTTTCAGGAACCTAATATGTCCTTGAAAAAACTGAGGAAAACTGAATATTCATATTCATCTAGTTTCCAAAGACCTAATCTAGTATTAACTGGGATTGAATGTGAAAATGTGAAAATTAGAAGTTTTCATGGTACTAGTGGATGTCACTGTATTGACTGAACATTCTCTCTGGAGTTATGCAGATATCAAGTTCATGTATCTGGATGGCAGTAACAGGCTAATAGCAGCATTCAACGGAATATTAGAAATTTCTGTGTGAAATATTAGAAGTGGAGATTGAGAGGTTGTTTTATTTACGTTTAACAGAATGGAAAACTTGTTCTAAAATAATTTTGAGATTTGTACAACGTGATTGGAGGAAATGAAACAATTTATATTTTCCAGGGTTGCTACAACAGGCAGTAAATATATTTGGGAGCACGCCGACGGATTATCGGATCTTTAAACAGGAACTATTTTTTGGATGAAATATAGATTTAAAAGAATAATTCGATTACCTGCCTCATATTTCAGTTTTATTACAAATACTCAAATGGAATACCTTTTGGCTTAGCTCTGCTGATACTTAACAAGATCTTCAGCTCTGTATTTCCCCTTAATTCAAGTTTATAATGTTTGATTTGGTTCATTTTTAATTTCACACCTCATTTCTTCAAGCTTTTCATATGATTCTAATATGAAGTCCTATATAAAGAAAGAGGGTTTCACCTATTGTCAACTCCGGGTCCAATATTGTTTGCTTTGGTTTGTTTTTGGGCTTCACAAAAATTCTTCTACTCAAAATGCACCTGCTTAGTTATGTGGATCTATAAATTGAATCTCAAGTTCATTAGCTAACAATGTAGTATGTGACATTTATGGTACCTAAAGGTGATGTAATCCTCCATATAGAACCATAGATCATGGACGGAGGGTTGACTAAGAGCCTCTTTGGTCAAGCTTATAAGCAGCTAATATTTATAAGGTAATTTAAGCTTATAAGAATTTGAAATTTAAGTAGTTATGCGATCGATTAAAGTATTTATAAATAATTGATAAATAGTTAACGTGTTTGGTAAAATATAGCTTATAAGTACATTTTATTACTAAAATGACTTAAAATGGTATTACATTATTTTATTAAAAAATAAATTATATTAACTTAATTTTTTATTATATTGAATTATAATTATAAATAAAGGTAATGTGGTAATATATTTTATCAAAGTTGTTTATAAGCAGAGTGTTTATAAGAAAAAAAAAGAGTAGGTTCCCCCAACTTATTATTATTATTATTATTATTTTGGCTTATAAACCCAACAAAATTATAAACAAATAAGTCAGCTTGATTTTAGAGCTTATAAGCTCAGACAAATCACTGTTTTAAAAACCGAATCGAACCGGCCGATCCAACTGGATGGACTGGGAACTGGTCACGTGTCCGGTTCGAGTCAACTATAAACCCGCTATTATCCATTAAACCGCTTTAACCTATTTAAAAACTGGATAAAATCAATGAACCGCCGATCCAATCGGACCGGCGGATAAACCAGTCTGATTTCAAAAACCCATAAGCCTATGCAATCGCACTATCGCAACCCATTCCATCTAATTTCCATCTCTGTTTCTTAGCTTCTTCTCTTTCTCAGTTTCTCTACGAAAATTTCTCAGATTTCTCAGCTTCTCTACGAAAATTTCTCTCTAAAATCCCACTCAAATCGCAATCAACTCCACTCCTTGAAGTCTGAAATCGCAACCATTCACCAAATCGCAACTGAACTCTCTGAAATTGACGACGACGTCTTCCTCCCTCGTCGGAAATCGACGACATCTTCCTCCCTCGCCGAAAATCGACGACGACAACTCCGTTCCTCACTGGAAATCGACAGCAACAGCTCCATTTGTTGACGACAGCTCCATTCCTGGATCCAGATAATAAACACGCCATTCCTGGACAGCTGAGGTTCCTCTGTCTGTTCGATGAAGTGAGTACTAGTAGTTATGGTAGTTATAGGTCGTTGAATCATCCCGAGATTCTCACTCAGTCCAGTCGAATTGCTGATATGCTTCGCGAAACCGATGTTTCTTGCTTGTAAGTGTTGTGTTTTTTCTTTTTAATTTAGTGCAAATAATAAGCAAGCTAAACTTTAGACTTTTTTATTTTATTTTTTTTTTTTTTTGAAGAAGAAGAAGTTTAGGCGATGTGTTTGATTTTGAAACTGTAATTTATTTTTGTTTGCTTATTTGTTTCTTTAGTATAAATTATGACGAGTTTAAGTGTTGACTGGTATATAGTTTTGATCCTTGAAATCAGGTACCCTTTTTTTTAGTTTTCTTGTGTTTCTCTTGATGGGTTCTCACTCTTTTACCTTGTGATCTTGTTTTATGTATCTGGGTTTACGTTGTTGCTTTGGATCAGTGCTTGGTCTAGTCAGAAAGCTGTGATTTTTGTGATCAAGATCTGGTTTTTGTGTTCATTCGAGCCTTGACCATGTTCATATCGTTTGTTCTGATGATTTATGGTTTCCAGATTATGTAGCTGAGGTTTGTGTATTCTAATTCTTGGCTGCAGTGTGCAATGATGGTGATAGTTATGATGATGATGATGGTGATGATGATGATGATGAAGAATTTTGATGATAGTGTGTGAAGCTCAATCAACATGGAGACAGATAAAAGAAAAAACACTTGTCCCAAATGTTTTGTTATTAATTATTATGTATTTTGTCATTTAATATGTAATGGATGAACACAATATCATGTTTTGGATTTGGATTTTAGATTGTTGTTAAATACTTAAATTATGTTGGGATTGTTATTGAATTTGAATTTGAATCATGTTGGGTAGTAATGAAGTTATTATTGTCTTATTAAAAAAATGGAAATCCTTAAAAAAAAAAAAAAAAGGTTTTTTATGTGATGATGATATCACCAGCTAACCCGTGAACCAAAGAGCAGAGCGGATTGCCCTCCGGTTCGGGTTTTAAAACAATGAGACAAACATCCCCTAAATCATGATTCGATGGTCCTCAATAGGGAGGAGTGGTGGATAACATTACATAATCTCGGTAAGCTAGATCCAATCTTCTAATCTCTCATATTTTCTCAAAGAGCAATACTATACTTACAACTCAATCTTATAAACCCTCTCATAACTACGATATGACGGCTTGTAATTGGTTTTTAATGAATTTTCTCGTCTGACCAATTACGAGTTACCACGTCGGAGTTTTGAGAGAAAGTTTGTGAGATTAAGTTGAGAGTCAATCTTTATTGTTTCTCAAACCATCCTTACCTATAAATAACACCAACAAACTTTAATTTCTCGAATACGGTAATAATAGTGCTATAGAAATTACAAAAGTAATTATTTTAAGAAAAGATATTCACAGATGGATGTCAAAACGATTAGAGGAATAAAGCAGGGCCACAACTGTTTTTTTAAGAGTGCAATAAAATTTAGCTGATTCATATTTGTTAAAAGGGGGAAAAAAAAAAGAGAGAGAGAGAGATTCCTCCTCTTAATTTAGTGGAAGATAATTAAAAGGGTCCTCAATCTTTTCCACTTTAATAGCATAAGGAATTAATTCTGGCAATATTTTAACCTCTAATGGGATCAAAAGAAGGAATTTCAGATATTGTTTTATTTTTCCCAGATGCCATATTACATTAAAGTGTCAAAATTCTTGGAATATTTACTGCTATTACTGCAAATCTATGTTCCCCCAAAATAAGAATTATAAAATTCAATGGATAGGATTAATTTAGGAATTAAGAAGTTTTGACATTTTAAAGCAAAAAAGATCATTAGATTAAAACGAACACCATATTCCTTTAACTTCGGCTCCCATAAGTAGCCACTTACAGCTCTCACCGTCAAATTTTTGTGTTACATTAATTGAGAATATTTTACGCTTGAGTTAAACTTAAAAGTAAAGTTAGACATATTGAACCAAAAGTGAAGAATATTTTACTCTTTAAATATTGAAATTTCATAGAGTTAATTAAAATAAAATATAAAAATACCTGAATAAAACTTGCTCCATCTGAGAGTATCAATACATTTTTCTAGGTTTGATTCCAGAAAATTTTGAACCGTATCGTAAGGGAGAAAAAGAAAAAGGAAAAAGAAAAACAGAAAAAGGGTAAATTCTGTGTCCATTTGGCTCTCCGAAACAAAAGAATAAAAATTTGTTTAATCAATAATACTGCATGTACAAAAATTTCATATAAATAGATCGAACAGTGATACAACATGAACACGATTTCATTCAACAAGCACAAATATATGATTAATTTCCCAACATGGCGTCAAATCTTCAGCGACGTTAACAAAACACTTTTGTCTATGTTCTAGGATTATTTTCCCTAATCTAACTTTTACATAGAACAAACTTCTGCAAAAATTTATGTAAATAAACTCAGTAGTAGTTCCCCTATATCAAAGTTTCCTCACAAGAAACTGAATAACATTTTCCTATAAGCTGTCTTAAGTATAAGACGATTTTGCTGACTTAAAATCGCAACCGGGGTTGTATACAGAATTTTCCCCTGGATGAAATTGTACAGAAAACGAGCCAACACTTGCCGGCTCTTGAAAAGACTTCTCTCAAAACTGTGCACGCAGTAAGCAGGGCTATTAACGATAGATTTTACAAGCCATCATAATTTTCGGAGCTTGGAATTTATACCGTCTTTCTTAGATGATGAGGATGATGACGAAGACAACCCAGATCGCTCGGCTTTGTCCTTGCTAAATGCCTTGTGAACGTCCTCTTTAAGTTCCATGAAGCGCATTCTCTTGATTTTCTGCTCATCTTGGGTACCCCTCTCGAGATAGAATAAATCAGGAAGGTCATCATCCATGAACTTATCCAAGACTTCTGAGCAATGAGGGAAATAACGCCGACCCATTTCCACTGTCATCAGGACAACACAGTTTAAATGTGGGAAACTATTACAATGAAAGTTAAAATTTGTACTCCGCAAAGTAGTGATGATTTCAGTTTGTCATTCATTATGTAACAAGTCAGAAACTCTGAAGAAGAAACTACCAAGTATAAACCCAAGCAATGTCAGTACCAATGACCGAGATGTTAAGCAACCTGTTTACAAAGGTGCTCGGGAAATAAACATAAGAATATTCCACTCGATTATCACCAGTTCTCATACCCAGTAATTCCATCTTACCAATAGGATTTTGTAATTGGGAAATTAACAATTTTTGTCGCTTGATTCAAGTCAAACTTAGATTCTGCGCCCTACCTGCTCTAGATATGGTGGCCGATAACCCAGTTCTGTACGTTCATCTTCAGAAATAAAGTATGCTAGTAGGCCAGTTTGGACAGAAGTTATACTCCAGGAAAGAGAACAAAAGAGAATAACCAACAGTTTGCCATCAAATCAAAACTAAGCTAAACAAAGCATCTAAATGCAGAAGAAAGTTAAAGCTTCCAATTACCTGTTTTCATAAGGGCTTCCATCCTAGAACGTAATCGTTTGCTCTGCATTATAGGCGTCTCATTTAAGTCAACCTCCCTGAAGTTTCCACTTGAACCTTTTGATGCAGAGAGACCAGCAAACTCAGATGTTGTCTGAGTATGTGCAATGTCCATGGCTAACTTGGCTTCAGTAGGGAAGAACAATCGTGCAAATGCCACTGCAATGTACAGTAACCCTCAGAAATTATCTTTTCAGCATAAAAAGCCATTACACATACAAATAAGATTCAATCAAAACCACATTGAATTGGAGGTTAAGCGATAATAGGCTGTTGTCTATCCCGTAAGTGCAAAATCTTTGCATGTGCAAACATCATATTCACTGATGTTATTTCACCAAATCTGACGATGCATATATGCAACCCGAAAAATAGCAAATGTCTCTTATTTCCACAATAGGCACACAACACCATCAGGTGGGACCTCATAAATTGAAGGTTCCAACACTGAGTATGAGTGCCCCTTGCTAGATTATCTATCAACTAAAATTCATACCTATAGTTCACCCAGTTGTTTTACATCTTAAAGCCTAACAAACAAGAAATTTGTACTGAGAATTGAGTTGGTAGCCACACTAAAGCCTTTGGCTACGGCCACATGAAAATGTATCTGAAAATCATTAAGAATTATACCACTGCTAAAAGCATGTGATTTTCTCGGGCATGCTATAAGTGAAGAGGAAGTGAAAGAGAGAAGAAGAAAAAAGGTTGTTAACAAAATGTCCAAGACATGTTAAATATGTTTATGCTATTTATCATGAGCTTAAATACGAAACTAGGGGGATTGGAAGAGAAACAGAGGAACAGTTTATCACAAGATTACAGCCTTTTATTAATACCATACTATGCCAACTGGTTGTCAAGCTAATTTCCATTATTTGGTGCAATAAAAGTCATCATCAGATTTAAGCCAAAAAAAAAAAAAATTTCACAAATCTGGGATTGGAAAACTATCGTGTCTGAAAGAGAGAATTCATGGAAATTGAAAAATAAATAAACTAATTACAAGACAATAGATAACATATGCAGCAGGGAAGGCAAACAATTGGGCTGAGGAGAAAAAAGGAAATCTGAGCCCTTCAATTGGCAAAAGCATATCCAAAAGGACATCAAAGTACCATGAGATTAACATCAATTTTGCACATTCCAACCTTCTGTATTAATATAGAAATATTACTCTTAAGTGGAATAAAGATAACAAATAAAACAGATAAATGAGTAGCAAACATATGATAATATTCGAATTTCAAAGCAAAACTCGGCCCAGAAAAACAAAAAATCTGAATATTTTGGGCAACAAAACAAGTGACTATGTTATGACAATGCACCACTGTAATGACTTCATAACATTCAAAAGAATAGAATCAAAAACTATCATATGCAGAATACTACCTCTGTTTTCTAGGTACAGCAGTTTCATGTGCAGATCATCAGCAAACGTGTGGGAAGTGATAGATACATCCCCAGCCATTGGATTCCTTCTCATTTCTCTCTCTAGAACATCAACACATATCCGATCCTTATTTGCTTCCTGACCCTGCTCCGTTTTTGCATGATAATCTTTTGGTCTTGTCAACCTCCGACAGATGCTAACAGCACTCCGCCCATCCAATGTCAAATCTGATGCACAAGCTCCTTTTGTCAAAAGCGACACTATCACTGACGGCTCCTTGCGCATTGCACCAACATGAAGAACTGTGTATCCACGAGAATTTCGGAGGTTGACATCAGCCAGACCAAGGCTGAGAATCTCAGATAAAACCTTGGGATCACAGTATGCTGCAGCATAATGGAGAGCATTGGCTTCATCTAAGGTTATATCAGACTCAGACAACAGAAGGTCAACAAGTTCAACATCATCTGAGTCTAGTGCCTTGTGGATTCTCCTGATTCTCTTTTCATGCAATGGGTCCACGGCTTCCACATTATTTTCATCATCTTGAGGAGGAGATTTAAGACGGATCATCCTAATGTTCTCTGCAACTTCGTGTGGAAGTTCTTTCTCAATGCAGATATTGTCAAGATCAGAACGTGCTACTCTATCGACACACTGAGCAACAAGCTGACTTGATTGACAATGGAAGGCAACAACAAGGATTGGAATAACATCTTCCACAAGAGCTTTCCCAACAAAGTTAAGAAGACGTCGCTGCAAAAAGTGTAAATTATAAATTAATTATGTTTTCTCATGGTGTCTGCAAGATATAAGTTTCGACAAATCTGGAAAGGGATCAAAAACTGTGTGATTATCAGAACTCTGCCATTTTCAACAATGAGCAATAATAGACTGTAAGCAAGCAACAAAACAAATCAATCAATCAATAACATATCTCACCATTACAACAACTAAACTATACCAAAGGCAAACATTTGATGAATTGCGAAATTTGAAAAAAATAAGTGAACTTTAACCGGCACAAAGACAGCATAGTTACCTGGAAAAGCGAAATCAGCTCCGGTACTTGAAATATAAACGAGGCATACATCAACTCCACCGCAAAATTAATAGCAGGTCTACATGCATCATGGGCACATACGTTGTCAACGCAAGTTGACACCTCCATTGGAGAAGGCTTCAACTTCCCGGTATAAACATAGCTCAAGAAAATCAAGAAGGCTTCATATCCAACTTTGCCAAAAGGCAACAACTCAGTCATAACATATTTTGGTTTTCCTTCTTTATCAGAAGACCCCTTTTCACTCCTAAATAACTCATGAAAAAACTTACTCCTAGCAGCCAAAATACATCGATGAACACCAACCGCGGTACCCTCCACAACTATCTCAGCATCACTATAATCACAAGTGGAATCAACCAAGAGTTGCTCCAAACTAGAACTAAGCTTGCTTAGACTTAACACTTCAAGACTAAGCCCCGCCGCCTCAGAGGCAGTAGAGGAGGGTATGTTGTGACTAATTGAGCCATTTGACAGATGAGAAGATGAAGTAAAGCTCAAACACGATGACGGTTCGGCTGAATTAGCCATTTAACTCTATAAAAGAATATATATTAAGAATTATCAAGCTTGAGGAAAGAATGATTCATGGTTTCCTACAGCAAAAAGATCCCCAAACCACCACTACTGAATATAAAATAGCAAAAACCTATGCATAAATACAACACATAATATAGCTAAAAAGCAAATTATTTATACAGCAGAATCAAATTACTAGAAATATATGAACTGAGGTCGATCAAATTTATCAAGAAATGAAAAATCAATCATTTGAAACCAACACAAAAAACCTATACACGATTGATACTACACACAAACTCTATATATTTGTAAAATTGCTATCAAATGCCCAAAAAAAAAAAAAAAAATTCAACAATTCATTAGCAGCATCATTTTTACTAAATTCTAATCTACTTATCAAACCAAACAAATATAACAAAAACCCAGAAAAAATAAACCATCAAATCTGATAAAAAAAACCAAACTTTACAGCCAAATGAAACCCCAAATCACAAAACAAAAACAAAAAAAAAAAACCCACTTGGAATCAGATCTACCAAACAACTCAACTCAAGAACTCAAAGAAATCGAATTGGGTAAGCTAGATTCGATGATGTGGGTGAGGAAACAAGAGGCTAAGAAGAACAAGAAGAGCAAAAGGGTAATTTCCAGTAAGAAAAATGGTCAAAACTAAAAGAGAAAAGAAACGAAAGACGGTGGTTTAAGTTACAAAAATAAAACGTGTAAAAGAGAAGAGAGTGTGAAGAGGAAATTTCACTAATCTCTATCAAAGCAAACAGTAAAGAAAGAGAGAGAGAGAGTCGTTAGGAGATGAAGTCGTTTAAATGACGATAAAGATTGTGTCAGCCAAGGTAGCTGGGTTCTCGTGATGTCAACAATGGCGTCACTATGTGATGATGAATCAGAGAGTTTCTATTTATTAAATGGGTAAACCTGTTCTCACCCAAGGTTTAGCGAAATGCCCCGTTTTCACCCCTAGTTTCATAAATTCCAAATTCCCACCCTTATATTAACATTGTCAGTGACTGTTACAAATGCAGAAGTTTTATTACCAAATTGCCTCTCACTTATATTAAGATTTCAAACTTCATCACCCTTCCTGAACGCGCTACTCTTTTTTGTACTCTTCCCGCCTCCCTTATTTCTTTTTCTTCCCGTCCCCAAGAAAATTCTCTTTCTCAAATAAAACAGAAAAATGATTGAGACCGGACCTTCTTCATCTCCCCTAAACTCCATCCTAACCTTGATTTTAGGAAAGAAATAACCCAAGCTTACGCTGAATCGAGATAGCAAGCTACCTTGGTCTTCTTTAAGTTCCAGAGATTCAAATCAAGGGTTTTAGCAGTTCTATGAGGCTAATTCAATTCAGTCTTTTAAAGCTATGAAATAACCTTTTCCCAAATTCTGTTTCTTATAGCTTGTGTGCCGCAAGTAGTTTTCTCTTTTTGTTAAAAATTCCTACTCCACCACCCATTTACCCATGCACAAATCGAGAAAAAATCCCTACTCCACCATCACCAAAAATAACTTACGGCAACATACAAATCATGATAACCCAAATAAATCAAGATCATCACATTTGCCACTTATCCTCGTCGTTAACCACCAGAGAAACCCAGCCACCGCCTTTTTCCATTTGAAACTCAATTTTGTCACCATTCCAATAACTGAAGAAAGTAGTATAAACAAGCGCATTTGATAGAGAAGAGATAGGCATCAAGATCTGAAGCAAAAAAAAAACCTTTTTTTTCTTCAAATAAACAGATACAAAAGAAACTGTAGATATAGAGAATAAACAGAGAGTGACAAAGAAAAAAGAGTGTAGAGAGAGGGAGAAACGATAGGAACAAAGAGGGTGAGAGAGCACGGTGAAGGAAAAGAGAGTGCAGAGAATCAGAATATGGAATTTAGTAAATAAAAATATTAAAATATAATAAATGACTATTTTAGCCTTTAACTATTGAAAGAAACGAAACTCTGTTAATTTAAGGGTGAAATTTAGAATTTATAAAAGCAGGGGTGGAAACTGGAATTTTGCTGAACCTTGGGTGGGAACATGTCGTTTTCTCTTATTAAATTAATGGTAATGTAAAGGAGAAGTCTTTGGTCTGGTTTCTTCATCGAGATATCCTAAGAGTCTCACCTCATTGCCTCTTTTCTGAGAAAACCACAAGGAAACTTAACTTGCCGACATTTCAAAATCTCTAATTTACTTTGTAAACTCGAGTTATTATTTAAAATCTCCAACTTTTTCTCTGAGCTCCACTTAAAACTGGAATTCTTGTCCAATCTTACAATTTCTCAACACTAGAAAACTAAAAATATTGACTATTATAATTAAGAATCTTGAACTTATTTTACGAGCTCCAAGTGAAATTGGAATTCTTATATAAATCCTATAGTTTTTTTTTTTTNCAGATCAAGGGCTTTAGCAGTTCTATGAGGCTAATTCAATTCAGTCTTTTGAAGCTATGAAATAACCTCTTCCCAACGTCTGTTTCTTATAGCTTGTGTGCCGCAATTAGTTTTCTCTTTTTGTTAAAAATTCCTACTCCATCACCCATTTACCCGTGCACAAACCGAGAGAAAATCCCTACTCCACCATTACCAAAAATAACCAACGGCAACATACAAATCATGATAACCCAAATAAATCAAGATCATCACATTTGAAACTTATCCTCGCCGTTAACCACCAGAGAAACCCAGCCACCGCCTTTCTTCAATTGAAACTCAATTTTGTCACCATTCCAATAACTAAAGAAAGTAGTATAAACAAGCGCATTTGATAGAGAAGAGATAGGCATCAAGATCTTAAGCAAAAAAAAAAAAACCTTTTTTTTCTTCACATAAACAGATACAAGAGAAACTGTAGATATAGAGAATAAACAGAGTGACAAAGAAAAAAAAGTGTAGAGAGAGGGAGAAACGATAGGAACAAAGAGGGAGAGAGGGCACAGTGAAGGAAAAGAGAGTGCAGAGAATCGGAATATGGAATTTAGTAAATAAAAATATTAAAATATAATAAATGACTATTTTAGCCTTTAACTATTGAAAGAAATGAAACTTTGTTAATTTAAGGGTAAAAATTTAGAATTTATGAAAGCAGGGGTGTAAACTGAAATTTTTCTAAACCTTGGGTGGGAACATGGTATTTACTCTTGTTAAATTAATGGTAATGTAAAGGAAAAGTCTTTGGTCTTGTTTCTTTATCGAGATATCCTAATATTCTCACCTCATTGCCTCTCTTCCGAGAAAACTACAAGGAAACTTAACTTGCCGACATTTCAAAATCTCTAATTTACTTTGTAAACTCGAGTTATTATTTAAAGAGAAATGATATTCTTACAAAGACCCATACAAAGAAAGTTACAAAGTGATATCATCCAGAAGAAAAAAATAAAGAAAAAATAAAAAAGAGAGAGAGAGAGAGAAATCATGAAAATCAAGGGTGGAGATTGTCTTTGTATACCCCCTTTATATGTGTCTTTGTAAAACTAACATTGCTCTTATTAAAATCTCCAACTTTTTATGTGAGCTCCACTTAAAACTGGAATTCTTGTCCAATCTTACAATTTCCCAACGCTAGAAAACTAAAAATATTGACTATTATAATTTAGAATCTTGAACTTATTTTACGAGCTCCAAGTGAAATTGGAATTCTTATATAAATCCTATAGTTTTTTTTTTTTAATTATTATCAAGATTGTCCGAACCAGTTTATACGTACCTTAACTAATCTTTCACGTTCCTAAAACTACTGACTGAGTAAAAGTTCTACTAGCTATTCTTATTATCAACAAAAAGGGATTCGAACTCAAGACCTCTTAAATAATGCATCCAAGAATCCCAATCAAAATCCGTAGTATTATCACTGCCACTTTTTTACCCATGAAGATAAAGAAGGAACCTTGAGTATTTAAAAGAGTAATTACTATTTTTCCCTTGCACATGATTAAATAATAAAAAAATTCTTTTATCGTTAAAATTTAGGTGTTAATAGAAGAGTAATTTAGTAAAATATTAATTAATTTCTAATATCAAAAGTTTTAACAATTCATTAGCAGTTAACTAATTTCAAAGAAATTTTTTATTATTTAATCCTACCTTACGGGGTTTATGTTTTTAACTCTATTTAAAATTCAAATGAAAATGAATGACAGCGAAGAAATTATCAAAAGAAAAGATTTTATAGTTTCTTAATACCAATTTTTTTTTTTTTTAACTACTTAAGTTGTGGTCAAATGGTAAAACTTTAGATTACCCAAAAGTCTTGTGTTTGAGTCTCACCAAGTGATCACCCATCACATTTATAACTTACCTGACTTATAGGGTATTCAATAAACCCTGGGAATTAATTGAGTATTTGTGACTTACCTGACTTGTAGGGTGTTCAATGAACCTCCAGGATTAGTTGAGTATTTGTGACTTACCTAACTTGTAAGGTGTTCAATGGACTCCGACGATGTTATGGGATAGCTCTTCCTAATAATTAGTCGAGATGCGCGTAAATTAACCGGAGCATCTTAGTTATTAAAAAAAAAAAAACAAAAAAAAAAGGCTTGAAATTTTTTCTTATAACAATTTTCTGATATGAGGAAACTTGAATTTGCACACGAGATTAATTTGTTAACATCCTGAATTTTTTTTTTAATCCGAAACAAGTTCATTAGCACGAAAAAATGGTTAAAAACAAAATTTTATAAGCTTCTTACTGTCATAAATTAAGTTGGTTCGTATGTGAGTATTTTCAAAACTTTGTATAATGAATTTTGTATATAAATCTATTTCGGTATTTATTATTATGGTATTTATTCTCAATAATTGACCATGTGAAGACACTCTTCAGTCTTCACCTCAAAGACTATGGTTTTAAAATGGGATAAGTTTATTACCTAAAAAAAAAAAAAAAAAATTTTTTTTAATAGGAGAAATTTGATTGAGACTTTCTTGATGGCAACTTTGTATTAATCGGAAAATCCTACGGAATTTCCTATTAAAGGTAGATT